TTCTGTAGTGATTACTTTTTCCAAGACGCCTTTTTAAAACTTTTCGTAATGTAGTATTGAACGCTCAAACTTTTTTCATTGATGGATCCAGATCAGACAAATATACATTTCCCAGCAAAGTATTCCTTTATTTTTTTTGCAAGCACTTACTGTACTATCATCATGTTTCCAAATACCAGGCTCCAACTTTCTTAGCTCAGCTTCCCTGAACTTCCTGTCCAGTACAAAATCCCAAGGGATAGAGCAGTCACCAGCAGCTGTCCAACTACTAGCTTGGAGAAGAGAGGAGGGAGGAGAAAGGAAAGAGGATCATAGAGTAGGGGAATGGTTTGCCTTGTCATGCCTGTGTCTTTGTAGTAGGGCTGGTAATGATTACAATTTTTGTGTTCGATTAATCACATTTTTTTTAATGATTAATTTCGATGAATTATAATGCACATACAGATCCAACTACATTGGCCTATACACATAGAGCACAGCAATGAAGTAATAAAACGAACTAGGATCACACTAATCCAGCACGTTATTAAAGTGTCCGTGACATCACCCGATCTCCGACGGGACTCCCGGAAGTCGGCAGAGAGGTGAGTCTTTTCATTTTCGATCAAAATAATTTTAATCGATCAAAAAGTTTAACGATTAATCGAGGAATTAATAGTTAATTTCCCCAGCCCTACTTTGTAGAGATACGCACAGCTTACAAGCACACTCAAGGGTGGCTCCTTAGGACCCTGCAAGGGAAAGGAGCCATCCTAATACAGGATATTAGGGTAGAGCTAAGGGGGCCAGGTGATTCTGCAGAAAACTAAAACTTTTTAAGCTTTCTCAGATGCTGATGAAATCACTTACAATGTATCCAGCTTCTTTATGTTTAAAAGTTTTAGAATCCTACAGAATTACCTGGCCATGACATCCTGTTTTTCAGGTTGGCTGTTTTCCCTTGCAGGGTTCCCCCGGAGCCACCCTTGTGTGTGTTAGTAAGCTGTGTGTGTGTTTCCACAAACACACAAGCACAACAAAGCAAGTAATTAGCTAAGGTGATAAGTTGGAGCCAGTTTGTGGTGTTGCTCTTTAACCTGCTTTAAATATTATAAAAACATATTAAAGCCCATTCATTTTGTGTAAAAATAGTAGATGTGGTAGGTATTGCTGTGGTAAACTGTGCATCTACAAAAAGAACAAATTCATCAGAAGCATGCTATTTTGAAAACAAGGTGTTCTTTTTTGTCAGTAACTTTCTACCATTTAGGGTTATATATAGCTGTTCTTTATGTAAGATATTTTTAACCACAACATCCTTGTAAAAATGGTTAAAATGAAACTTAAGTATGCACTCAATAAACCTGAACGCCAGGCACAAAAATAAATACATTTCTTAAAGCTGACATTTTATCTGCTTATATTTTGTCTTCCCTGGTTACTACTAGTGTGCTATACGGCCCCCAGAAAGTTGTGGATGCCTGTGAGTCTAAAAAAGTGATTTAAAAAGCTTGCCAAATGATTTGAAAGCAATTATTCCACTGTAAGAAAAATAATTTACAAATGGCGTAGATGTAAAAAAAAATGCTAATTTGTCCAGGACAGGCCAGCCCAGCAAATTTAACCCAGCAGATGTCAGTCTGATGCTAACACATCCATTATGTGGTGTTCAGGTAACTCTTGCAACAGTTAAGGTCAAAGCCTACAATAAGTAATTTCTGCTATGGCAGTAATACTAGCTTTTGATGTCAAGAGTGATCTTAATTTTTCCACAGTACTGCATTACATCTATCAAAATTTTTGTTGAATAAATATATGAAAAGGCAAATTTTTTGTGTGTTCTTAGGTATATTACCTTTATCTGTAGGTAATATTTGAACAAAGATCTCAGGTTTGCCTGTTCCAATATGCTGTAAAAGACAATTTCCATGGGGTGTACTAAAAATTGTATGTGACTGTACCTGTTCATATATTGTTAAGCTGGTAATTGATATATATTATTTTGTTATATTGATTTGACTTATTTTGCTTAGGTCTAAATATTAAAGTTTTTTTTATTTTTTATTTATTTAGTCAAGGAAATAAAACAAATATTGTATATGATGTTTTAGCATGTGCAGCTGGCTGAAGTCTGTGCTCTTTATCTGCCTATTCTTACTGGTTTATAAAAACCACTGTTTACAGAGCTCAATAGCTGCAGCTCAAATTTATGCACAGACCTGAATGACTAGAACGGAATAACTTATAACCATTTTCTGACCCTATCTGCCTGCTTTGTATAGGCGGGCCACATTAAGTTTTAGGATGGCTCCACATATGTGCGTTTTGGCAAAGTGTTGTAAAATATGTGTTGTATTATTGGTTACTGAAACAGATGTACTATGTGCATACCATTATACTGACATTCCAACCCACACATACAGTAGCTGCTGACACATCTGCTCTTCAGTGCACTACCACGCACATACTGTGCATTTTAGTGCTAGTGTTTTAGTGTTTTAGTTTGAGTTCCTGGAAATGCAGCTAATGCATTTTTTCATGTGTTTAGGTACATTGCCAGCCCATTCAAAATAAATAGGCTGCCTTAATGCAATAACAACACATATACAAGGCTGTCAAAACACCTGCACTATAAGGCATTACAATGCATCAATTGTGTTTTGTGGTTGGAGGTTTTGGCAAAATTTCTGCAGGTGCAGTTTATGTGCTTTGAGATATGCTACCTGCCTATTTAAAATGAATGGGTCTGCCTTAATGCAGCATACCCGATCTACACTACCAGTCACAAGTTTTAGAACAACCCAATTTTTCCAGTTTTTATTGAAATTTACTCAGTTTAATGTCTGAATGTACTATTAAAATAAAGCATAGAACAACTAAACAATTTCTATATCTAAAAGAAATCATGGAATTGTTTTCTTTAACACAATGTAATCTTAATGTGTGACTCATCAAAGTAGCCACCTTTTGCAAATATAACAGTCGAACACACTCGTCGCATTCTTTCTACAACGGAAATCAAATATTGTTCGGAAAGTTCTTCCCAACACTGTTGCAGAAGTTCCTACAAATGTGTTGCACTTGTAGGTTGCTTTGCTTTCACCCTTCTTTCCAGTTCATCCCAAACCAGCTTGATGGGATTTAAGTCTGGTAACTCCATGATTTGAAGCCTACCGACTTGTTCTTTTCTTCTAAGGTAGTTCTGACACAGCCTAGAGGTATGTTTTGGGTCATTATCTTGCTGTAGGATGAAACCGTAGACATACAGCAGAGGGTATTGCATGGTGCTGCAAAATACTGTGGTAATAGTTTTGGTTCAGGGTGCCACTCACTCTAAGCAAGTCGCTGACTCTGGATCCAGTAAAAAAGCCCCAAACCATCCTGCTTCCTCCTACATATTTGATAGTTGGTGTTACACACCAAGAAACCATCCTTTCGCTAACTTGGCGGCATACAAAAACCCTACACGATGAACCGAAGATCTAAAATTTTGATTCATTGGTCTATAAGAACTTCTTCCAGTCTTCAGTAGTCCACTGGCAGTGCTTCATGGCCCAGGAAAGCCTCTTTTTCTTATTTTGCCATTCTAGCAGAGGCTTTCCTACTGCCACTCGGCCAGTCAAAACTGCAGCTCGATGTCTTCTCTTCACAATTGAAACTAAGGGGTCTATTCACAAAGCTGCCGAGGGCAGCCGAGTGAATGACCGATCAGAAGTGAAGTGAGCCGAACACTGTTCGGCTATTCACTTCAGGCTGGTACGGCTGATTTCAGCCGTATATCGGCTGAAATCAGCCTACATCGGCTTGCTTCGTGTGGAACTATCAGTGTTAAGTTGTGCTTAAAGCTGTTTTTATGTGAGCCACCTGTCACGCAATCTGTTGACTCTCAGAAACTTGTCTTCTGATTCTGTTGTGGCTTTGGGTGTGCCAGACCTCTTCCTGTAAGACTGGGTTCACACCTAGGCATTTTTCCGCGCTTTCGTACTCGCGGAAAAACGCTGAAACAGGGAAATGCCATTATTTTCAATGTGCATGGTTCCCATCTGGGTGGTTTTCCGCGAGTATGAACGTGCGGGAAACCGCCCTATGCCCAAAGAAGTACATGTACTTCTTTGGGGCGTTTTGGTCGGGCGGTTCCATTGGGATACAGCCAAGTATCCCTCGGAAACACGCGTTTTTCCGTGCATATTACGTGCATATTCAATCCGCCTAGGTGTGAACCCAGCCTTAGTTTCTTCCAGCTTCCAAGTGTCTTTTGATGGTGTAGGACACTGTAGTCACTGGTCACTGACATCCTGGCTTTCTTTGCAATGTCTCTAAAGGAAAGACCTACACTTTTAAGGGTTATAATAGTCTGTCTGTTTTCCTTTGATAATTGCCTTTTTATTGCCATTTTGAGAGCAATATACTACTTCCTGCAGTACAATATTGTGCAATAATTGTTTAGATGGGTGCAGTAACACAGTCTGTTCCAACAGTACTTTTATACAGGCAGAGGGCTTGTGAGTAATCAACAAATGTTGGGTCACCCGTAAAAATGGTTAGCAAAAACTGTCAAGACTTAATTTTCTTACATTGCTGCAGAACAACTGTGAGTTGTCAACCCATTACTTCCTGCCTGAAAAAAACCTTTTTGTATAACTGAAATGTATATTATTTTTCAGTTGTTGTTAACCTAAACTTCTTTTTTTTCACTCTGGCAGTTTACCTTTACGTTTGTACCATTTCAGGTTATTCACTGGACTTTACCTGCTTACATTTCAATAAAAACTAGAAAAGTGGAGGTGTTCTAAAACTTTTGACCGGTAGTGTAAATACACACATTAGCACATGCTTTCACAAATGTCTTACCCTGACAAACAGGATGTTATCAGAACAGGATCAGAACAGGATCAGAACAAGTGAGTGCTAATCTCCCCAGTGGGGACCAAAGAATGGCAACAAGAATCTGACAGAGGTTCTAAAGGTTTTCCAGTCATCCAAAAAAAAAAGAACCATTAATGTAAACATACTGTGCTTACCTGCAATGAATACACTTTGGACATCTATTTCAAACTGCTTCGTAAGATTAGAATAATTATTCTCAATTCCGGTTCTCAATTCAGTCTGAATCTTTTCACTAGCTAAAACCTGACCGAAGAGCGCATTGAAAACCACGATCACACTTCCATTTCTAAGACAAATGATAAAAAGAAAATCAGTGAGGTTATTGCTTGTTTGAAGTGATCAGGAACTAGATAAGAACCTATAAGCGGCAGACAAGCACTGCAATGAGAATTATTATGGTAACCAATCACAAATTGTACGATTACTATGGGTTTATACACTTTGCAAAGTGACACTGACATTTGTCCTGCCTTGAATATACTTGTAAGTGAAAAATTGTCTTAGCTGATGCAGTCGAATGGCAAAAAGGGTTCTTGCTTTGTAGTCTTGAGCTGCCTCCTGATACCATACATTTTAACCCCGTACTCGTACACAATAAAAAGCAGTAATCACTGAAGAGGTGCAGGGCGCTTCGGCACTGGGAGGTAACATTTCTGAGGGCCTGTGTACATGGACATTTGCTTGCGTCTGAATAGGTTTTCTCCACATACAAGTCTACTTGAATGCAAAAGCAGCCTGAAGCACATTGATGCAAGGAGGAGGTCTGAAGCATTGTATAGGAACCCAGAAGGATCTCTGAAGCATCTGTAACTGATCTCATGCTAAATTCCCCTGAAAGAACGCTGTGTTTGAGTTTTGCCAATATACACAGGACAACGATCTTAAATGAAGCATGGGGATTGACATAATTGATTGCTATCAAAATGCTAGATGATTGCCTGTGTCTGACTGCAACACTTTTTTAAATGACTAAACACATAGCAAAAGCCAGAATGAGCTCCTGATTAGCTTGTTCCAAACCCATGAAATATGAAAGATTTTGGATCAGGATGGCAGCCAAGCAATGAATATTTTCAGAAGGAGTGGTTAGCAAAGGCAGCCTATATATTTTTCTCAGCACTTCAGACAGTAGAGATAATAGGAACTTTTCCGTTTAGTTGTTTGAATGCTTAGTATATTTGAAAAATAATGACTGTATAGCAAATAGCAATATGTTTGATTCACATAATGTAAAAACATGAGGCCACAGCTATTTTATGTACAAACCGCAGTCAATGGGTTAATTATATATTAAATCATATACTCAGTCTGACAATTTTTTATGCATTAATGCTTTACAAAGTGATACAAACAAGGTTGAGTAGTATAAATAGTACAAATGTATAAAATATTTTCAATAGCAATGGCATGCTTAGGTATGGAAACAACATTTACAGAAAGACAAGACACAATAGAAGAAGCCATATCATACAAATAGAAATAACCCTGCTGTGCCTCTAGGATTAAAGTTTACAATACATTTTGCTTGTAACTAGGCTCTATTACAGATGAATGTCTCTTTCTGACCCTGATATTTATCTTCTCCACTTGGATGACCCGCTAAATAAACAGCATTACACCATTCATCTTGTAAATAGTCTTTAAATTCTAGTTGAAATTCTGTCAGGTTTTATTTCTGGGCGTGCAAGGAGAATAGTACCAAACGCAGAACATATAAAGTCCAGATTCAATCTTATAAGACTCTTATAGCATAAAAGATATTGAGGGGATTTATCAAAACTGGAGCAGAGAAAATCTGGTGCAGCTGTGCATGGCAACAAATTGGCTTCTCTCTTTCATTTTCAGATCTTAACTGAACAAACTGAAGAGAGAAGCTGATTGGTTGCAATGCACAGCTGCTCCAGATTTTGTCTTCTCCATTTTGATAAATTCCCCTCAATGTGTTTTGGGGCTTTAAATGACCCCTTAAGCAGGGCTTGGTAATGTTGAACAAAGTGTGTAGTGGACTGATAAAATCAGAGGGATACTGAGGGATGGCTCTTTTGGCTCTTTCCTCCTGGCACCTCCAGTCTCTACTCAAGTAAAAAAAAACAACCTTTGGCCACCACTCCTGGGAGTGCTGTCTAATGATAATCATTGCCTCTATACTTCTCAAGACCTGATTGAGAACATCTACTGCTTCAAGAGATCCAGCACCCCACACCATTCTTCTACATTCTTAGGTTCTTATTTTGTCTGAGACCCCATTAAGGAGAATTATCCCTACTCCCTGTTCCTGTGACACCCGTACAAAATATGTAAGAACAACCATCACTAGGATAAAAAGGCATAGACAGCAATAAACCCATTTTCAAAAGTTCTAATCCTACCTCGGTCTCCTATCATTTTCTTTCCCGTCTCCCTATGTTGTGGGTTCTTACAAAGTGGCAAAGGTTTAAAGGATCAGGTATCACAATTGTTCCTTTATTTAAAAGTTTTATCTAAGACAAGCCAGATTTTACAGTCACTGCATCCTTATTCAATTCCACCTCTTAACAACAAGCAAAGTAAACAGCAAAGTAGGACAAAAATACAGAGTTTATATTCAGAGTGTGCTTTCTTAAGCTTTTAGGGGAAGCCTAACTCTCCTCACTTCTGTAACCCCTCTAACAGCTAGTCAGCATTACTGGTGTGTGGCCACAGATGACACCTTCCTGTAAGGAAACTACCAGCTTGCTTCCTGGGTCCCAGTGATCCAACCGTCTCCAACTGAGGGGTGAGGCCTATCTGTCCCTAACAAGCAGCCATCTGTCCCTCCCTGCAAAGCCATCCCTCCCTCCCTGTGCAAAAGACTCCTTTGTGATGCAGAAGGGGTTCTATATAGTCTTTCTATTTGCCATATGTAATGGAGGGTGAGGCTGTTTCTCACATGATGGATTTAGTAGGCCCTATGAATGTTTATAACACTGGCATCTTTATCAGGCAATAGGAATTTTGCCCCCTCTCTTTTTGTCAGGATTCTTTGGGTATTGTAACATTTATTTATTTTCCCTGTCCTTACTCTGAGCCAATTCTCATTCTTAGAGAAACATTTTCCTGATACTTCCATACAGCCCAATGTCATACTTTCCAAGAAATGTACCTTTATCAGAAGAAAAGCCATAAATCACACCCCTCTAACATGTGTTCTAGTGTTCCAAATTCCACAATAGCTTAATGTCATCCACATCTCTCTCATATCTCTTCTCACCAGACTTCCCATTACCACCCCCTCACAGGTTATTTAATGGCAACAAATGACAGAAGATTCACACACAGTGCTGGGAGCCTGAACATTAGATTGATCAGCAACAGTCTATTATTGAGCTGAAGAGCAGAATAAGGTAAAATGTCTGTATTAGTTTCCATTTCAGTATCTTTCAGGTTGCATTAATGTACAGAAGTGCATTTGGCCTTTAGCCAGAAGAGGGTATTTGCATTCCCCTGGAGATAATTCTTGCCAAAGTAGGTAAGGCAACATCTTTTATGAACACCACACACTGTACCACTTGACACCTGTCAGCAATTACCTTTGTCTCCTTCTACCTTCCTGCAAGAACCTTTGCTGCATGCAGTAGTCTCTCCCCTCAAGTGCATCTGCAAATCAGCAGAAAGCAAAAGAATGTCTCTAGAACTTTATAGAAACATCCTGTCTTTCCAAAGCTAAAATAAGTTAAAGCAGAACTCCAGCCAAACCTTCAGCTTTGCACAGTTGTACAGACGCTTCTGTATTGAATTTGCTTACCATCATTTTACTGTACATTTACAGTGTTCATTAGAAGCTTCAGCATGTTAGTTAGAATCTGCCTAATTTGCTTTTAGTTCTTTCAGTCAGGTAATGAGAAAGTTAAGGTTATATTTTACAATTTCATCAGCATATTGATATTGTGGGTAGGTGGGAAGAGAAACCTGGGATGGCAAAATATAATCAGATTTAACTTTAACTTTAACTGTTTCCCTGTCCTGGTATCCAACTACAGCTCATCACAACCAATCCACTGTTTGTACTTTCCAGCTTTTACAGAAATATTTCCTGTACTATCTTTCACATTTATATCACTTAACCAATAGGATGTATTAAGGTTGCAAAAGAATCTCTTTGGCAGTCCACTTCAATGAAATTAGTAAAATAAAACAAAAAGTTAATTTGGCAAATTTCTGAGGGGGCAAATTTGATCAAAACGGGAGGTTGGGTGGATGCCAAAAGAACAAATTTTAAACAATTTGCTCAGCTGTTGTTTTAAGTTTGAATAGAGAATCAGTGTTTGAACTGTACCTAAATGCTAGTACTACCTCCAGTAAAATGACAATGTCTAAAGAACTGTCAGTAAAATATACAATGAGACTGCAAAATTCCACCAAGCTGAATTTGCTTTATTTCTGCTGAGATATTTCTCTTGTTTCAGTAGACAATGCAGACACAAATATCAAATTGAAATTTCAGTATACAAATTACAGGTAAAATATATATTTAATCAAGGCCTTGATAAATGGGCTGTGCTACATCAAAAAGATGGACCTCGAATAGAAAGATCCCTGCAGGTTCTGTGTGCCTTGTACATATCCCCAACCATTATTTGCAGTACTGGAGCTACATGTGTGAAGACCCCCTAATATAA